TTCATCATTCATCATGTTATCACATAATTCATCATTCATCATATTATTTCATCATGTTAATTCAATCAATACTTCATGGAAACCATCATAGCATCATGTACATATCACCCAAAACCTACTGCCATATTCATGGTAATTCCTGTAACAGTCCAATTTTAATTAAGTAATTACTTAAATTAATTAAATGAATTATGGGGTTTATTTAATTAATTGGGTGATTATTTATTAAATTGGTAGATGTTTGAGAGAGGAATTGTGAAGGAAAGAAGTTGGAATAGAAAGATATAAAGGAAAAGTGGAAAGAAAATATAAAGATAGAAACATAAGAAGAGAAAGAAAGTGGAAGAGGAGAAAAAGGGAAGAAAATAGGAAAGCTTGGATTTCATCAAGAACAACACTCAAGCATCGATTTGAGCAAGGTAAGGGTGTGAAATATTGTTATCTTAACAATGTATATGTTTATGTATGCTTGGGGTTGATTGTTGAGTGTTTTCTACAACTTCCGTTTTTAGGGCATAATGAGTTTAATCGGTATAACGGATGTTTTATCGGGTAGAATCTGATGTAAGTAGTGTAGAATAGTCAAGGTATGTTATACTAAGACTATTGGAACTTACTTGTGGAGAATCGGTCGGTTTTGGAGAGGTATTGAATTTCTGAACAGTGGGAAAATTCTAGTTCGCAGACGTTCGCTAGCTGGTCGCGAACGCTCGTTGGGTCCTCGCCTAGCGAGCTAGTGGCGAACAAAAATAGAATGTGAGAGGTCCCCTTCGCTGGTAGCGAATGTGGTCGCGAATGGTTCGCTAGGGGTTCGCTGTGGCGAACAAAGTAGCGAGTGAGGTCTGTAGCCTCTGTTTTGGTTCGCTAGCAGTTTGCTAGGCGAACATGTAGCGAAGGTTCGCTAGCTGCTCGCTAGGCGAGGTAGTAGCGAACATGACAACATTTGTGTTTTCTTGTGTTTTCATTCCATGTTGCTTTGTGGTTTCGATCGGGTTCGATTCTTATGGGAATGGAGGGATTGTATGCTGTGATATATGTGTTGTGGGTAGCCGTATGGCGTGAATCCTAGATGTTGGATTTTGATATGTGGCATTTTGGCATTTATGTATGCATTGTTTAATTTGATTAAAAATGCATGATGTGTTGTGATTGAATATGTTTTCGTTGGCACGATGTTATGAATGATGCATGGGAACATATTGTTGGATATGTGTGCATTACATGGAATAAAATGATATTGATTGTAGATGCATATTGTTTATATGCGATTATGTGTGATTGATGCATGGGAACATATTGCTAGATATGTGTGCATTGTGATAAAAATGATGAAAAGTATGAATACTTGACTATGTGAATATGTTGTATGTGCAATCTTGTTTTAATTCTTGAAGGGAGGAATTATTTTAATGCATGGGATTAAGACGTGAGATCGGTCTTAAGTGCATTTGTTGTTGATTGCATATGCATTATTTAGTCAAGAGGCAATGTTTGCTAGTTTCGTGGAGACTAGTGGTTTGTCCCAAACTTAGAAGGGTGGGTTTGAAAGCTTAGGGAACGAGCTTTATTGTTATCGGTCTAGAATGGTGGACCTGGTTTAAATGTAAAAACCGAAAAATGATAACAAGTGTTGGTACCACATGACATTGAGTTGCATTGAGTTGTGTTGAGTCACATAGCATTGATGTCATTGTTATATGAATTATGCTCGTGTGTGAATTGGTGGCTTGGTGAATTGTGAATAATGGATTGGTGTATTAATGAAAGATGTTTTATGATTATTCATATGTGTTTATACATGTTGTGAAATGTATGATGAGCTATGAATGATTTATGGTGAGAAGTCTGAAATATTTGTATCTTTAATTTCGTATATGTATATATATTTATATGCATTGATTATTATGATAATATTTCTCACCCTTCTGCTATTTTATAATGCTCTATGAGGCATTGCAGATTAGGTTGCATTCAAGTGCTTTCCTCCTCTTATCATGGTAACTCTTCTGACAACACTGCGACGCTTTCATCCTTTCACGGATCATCTTGATCTTTTTGGTCGTCTCTTGCACAATTTCAGGTCCGAGCACAACACTCTCGCCTGATTCCTACCAACACAAAGGAGTCATACACCTCCTACCATACAAAGCTTCATACGGTGCCATGCCGATACTCGAATGGTAGCTATTATTGTAGGTAAACTCGATCAACGACAAATAACTATCCCACGATCCACCTTGATCCAAAACACAAGCTCTCAACAAATCTTCTAAAGGCTGGATAGTTCTCTCTGTCTGTCCATCCGTCTGCGAATGATAGGCAGAACTCAACCTCAACTTAGTACCCAAAACCGTCTGCAAACTTTCCCAAGACCTCGATGTAAATCTCAGATCTCTATCCGACACAATACTCGACGGAACACCATGCAACTTCACAATCTGCTCAATATATAATTCAGCAAGTTTCTGTAACGAATAATTGATCCTTATCGGTACAAAATCAGCCGATTTAGTCAATCTATCAACAATTACCCAAATCGAATCATACCCCTTCAACGTCTTCGGAAAACTTGTCACAAAATCCATAGAAATGCTATCCCACTTCCATTCTAGAATACTCAGCGGTTGCATCAGACCTGACGGACTCTGATGCTCAATCTTCGACTTTTGACAAGTCAAACAAGCGTACACAAATTCGGCAATTTCCTTCTTCATACTGGGCCACCAAAACAACCTCTTTAAGTCTTGATACATCTTTGTGGCACCAGGATGAATACTCAACCCGCTTCTGTGGCCTTCCTCAAAAATACTCTTCTTAATTTCCGGCAAATCGGGAATACACACTCTATCTCTGAACCTCATCACACCATTCTCCTCAATCCGAAAATCACCTCCGTCACCTTGATTAATTAAGGTGAGACGATCCACCAAATTCAAATCAGACTTCTAACATTCCCTGATCTCCCAGAGAATACCATTAGTCAGCTTCAACATACCCAATTTCACACTGTTAGGAGTCTCTTCACAAATTAAACTCATATCTCTGAATTGCTCAATCAGTTCCAACTCTCAAACCATAAGCATCGACATATGCAAGGACTTCCTACTCAACGCATCAGCCACAACATTAGCCTTACTCGGATGGTAATTCAATTCAAAATCATAATCCTTCAGAAGTTCAAGTCATCTTCGCCGCCTCATGTTCAACTCCTTCTGATCAAACAAATACTTCAGACTCTTGTGATCACTGAACACCTCGAATCTGGACCCAAATAGATAATGTCTTCAAATCTTCAACACAAACACCACAATGGCCAACTCTAAATCATGCGTAGCATAGTTCCGTTCATGGACCTTTAGTTGTATGGAAGCATAAGCAACAACCTGGCCGTTCTGCATCAATACGCCTCCAAGGCCCATCTTTGATGCATCACAATACACCACAAAAGGCTCACTCGGACTCGGCAAAATCAACACTGGAGCAGTCGTCAACTTCTTCTTGAGTTCCACAAAGCTTTGCTCATAAAAAGCATCCCATACATAAGCTTGACCCTTTCGAGTCAACTGAGTCAATGGCAATGCCAACTTAGAAAAAAATTCAATGAACTTACGATAATAACCAGCCAACTCCAAGAAACTTCGAATCTCAGTAGCAGACTTTGGAGTCTCCCACTGTAACACATCATCAATCTTCGACGGATCAACAACAATCCCCCCACTAGAAATCACATGGTCAAGGAAACTCACTTCCTTCAACCAAAACTCACACTTAGACAACTTGGCATAAAGCTTCTTGTCCCTCAAAACTTGCAATACAACTCTTAGGTGTTGCGCATGCTCTTCTTCGAACTTAGAATATATATTAATATCATCAATAACACCACCACAAACTGATCCAAATAAGGATGGAAAATCCTATTCATATACTCCATGAATACACCGGGTGCATTCGAAACTCCAAACGACATCACAGTATATTCATAGTGTCCATATCTCGTCCTGAAAGTTGTCTTCTTCGGCTGCAGACACTGGTTACTGATATGACCCTTCTCTCCACAGTTGAAACAAGTCGGAGATTCGTCTTTACAATTAGTAGCCTTATGACCCCTCATGCCACATCGGTGACATCTTAGCACCTTACAATTCTCAGCACGGTGGCCTTGCTCGCCACACTTATAACACTTACCTGGAGCATTAGCCGCTCCCCCACTTGGCTTTTTCTTATCATAAGCCTTCTGCTTCCGTTTATCATCCGATCCGAAGTCAGATATGGTTTTCCTCTGAAATGCCCTTTCTCTAAGTGTGAGTTTCTTATTCACACATCTCAAACCCCAACATCACAATCATCTTAACTATGGCCACAAATTTTGCTTCAAGGTCCATTTTCTTCTCCCATTCCACCAAGCTTTTAATCCTCCCTTTCAAACCTCCTTCTTCCCACCTCCCCTTTTCTCTCCTCTCCGTTTCACAAGAACAACCTGCACTTTGCAACATCAACAACACAAACAACCTCAAACTACTCGAAGTGTCATCGGAATCCTCGAAGAAAGAGGCTTACTCGACTCCATAACAAACGATTCTCTCAGAAACATTTCATCAAACACCATTAACGCACCCCTCAAAGTCTACTGCGGCTTCGACCCTACTGCCGAGAGCTTGCACTTGGGCAACCTATTGGGTCTCATTGTTCTCTCTTGGTTCCACCGTTCTGGCCATAACGTGGTTGCTTTGATCGGCGGCGCCACCGCGCGGGTCGGTGACCCATCTGGGAAAAGTCTTGAAAGACCAGAGCTTGATGTAGAAACCTTGGAGAGGAATACTACAGGTGTTGAAAATATTATTAGAACAATCTTGGGTCGTGCTAAAAATCCTAACTTCGAAGATTTGAATGTGAATGGTAATGATTCTTCTGTTGTGGTTTTGAATAATTATGATTGGTGGAAAGAGTTTAGTTTGTTGGATTTTCTGAAAAGGGTTGGTAAGTATGCTAGAGTAGGTTCAATGATGGTTAAGGAGAGTGTTAGGAAGAGATTAGAATCTGAACAAGGAATGAGTTATACTGAGTTTACTTATCAGTTATTGCAGGGTTATGATTTCTTGTATTTGTTTCAAAATGAGGGTGTTAATGTTCAAATTGGGGGTAGTGATCAAAGGGGCAATATAACTGCTGGAACTGAGTTGATTAGGAAGATATTGCAGGTAGAAGGTGCTACTGCTACCTATGGTTTGACATTTCCACTTTTGTTGAAAAGTGATGGTACGAAATTCGGTAAATCTGAGGACGGTGCAATTTGGTTGTCTCCATCTTTGTTGTCTCCATACAAGTTTTATCAGTATTTTTTATCTGTGCCAGATGCTGATGTTATTAGGTTTTTGAAAATCCTTACCTTTTTGGATATTGATGAGATAGTTAAGTTGGAGGAAGAGACGAAGAAACCTGGATATGTGCCTAATACTGCTCAGCGGAGACTTGCCGAAGAAGTTACCCGATTTGTTCATGGTGAAGATGGTTTGAGAGAAGCTCTTAGAGCAACTGAAGCATTGAAGCCGGGATCTGAGATAAAGTTGGATTGGAAAACTATTGAGGGGATTGCGGAGGATGTTCTGTCTTGTTCTTTAACTTATGATGAGGTTTTGAATCAGTCTTTGGTTGATCTTTCGGTATCTTCGGGTTTGTTCGACAGTAAATCTGCTGTGCGCCGGTTGTTAAAGCAAAGAGGTCTGTACTTGAATAATAGCATAGTAGATAGTGAAAATAAGAGGATTGAGGCAGCTGATATAGTGGACGGTAAAGTTCTCATTTTATCTGCAGGAAAAAAGAATAAGGTACTGGTACGAATAGCATGATTGGATTTACTACATGAATATTCTTTGAAGAGTATTTTATTTATTCTGTTTGTTTGTTGTATGCTTAGTAAACGCTTGATTTTGGTGGTAATCATTAATATTTAAGTTGCTCATCAAACAAGTGTGTTTATTGGTGTAACTGTTAAGCCAATTTTTCTATTGCTTATATAACTTTCATGACATTTGAGACTTGGTTCCATTATTAATAAACTTTGCAGCTATCTTCTAGACTTGTTTGAAGTTTGGTTGAATAAATTGAGTTTCTTATTGTCTTTCATCGTGTCTGATATATTGTTGTTAAACTTGTATGCTTATATTAAAGCAAGAAAAATGAGTGGAAACTTGCATCACATGTCAATATAATCTTATATATATTTATAGAGAAGTTAAATGAAAGAGTTCCTGAAAAAAATTGTAATGAGATGCTAATTTCAATTTATACAAGAAGTTGTTGTTTTAAAAGAAAGGTATAGCTATCTCAATATTATTTTGATTTTTTTTTTTTTGCACAAGAAATTCGGTTAGAAGTTTATTCAAAAACATCCTAAATATAATATTGATATGTTGCAAATGCACTCTCATTGAAGCCTATCTTCACCTTTCTCTTCTGCTGAATGGTCACTCCAACATAATCAAAAGTTATTGTCTGCATTCCAGGAATTTCAGATTATTCTATCTTTCATGGAGGATGCTCGCGGTGTCTCCCACATCCTTGCAAATTAGAAAATGCCCTCATGCGTTCGGAGATGCATCCCCGGTCGCATCCAAAATCACATAAATCTTCTCTTTTTTTGAGTTTTATCCCAATTTTTTTTTTAAATATAGTTCGGAGATGCATGTCCGTATATTATTTGGGTGTATTTGGAGATGCATATTCGAAATACCCTCAGATATCATTTATCAAGAGTCTGTTTTTAGATTCTCATCATTCATATTATCCATTAATCTCCTATGAAGGACTAAATATATTTAACAAGAGCGCGGCAATGTATCCACTAGTTCCATCAGAAATCGGACCTCAACCGGTCGGCTCCCTTGAACAACTTCAACTGACGAATTAGAAATCGGACCTGTCCAGAGATGTTGCAGCATATCTCTTGCTTGAAGTTTTCCAAACTCGACATCTATTTGAAATGTAAGAATCAGTAACAGGATTGAAGGATAGCTGGAAAACCAAAAGATCAATCTATAATATGAAAATTCAAGCAGCACCTGCATATTTGTAATTCCATACAAGTGAAGTTTCCCTTTCTTCAAAATCAAAGTGTGACCGCAGTGTTCTTTCTGTGAAGTACTCAAAAACATGCTGTAACGCAGGATCGGAAATGTAAGTCATTGACATATATAAATGAAGGAAGTTACATCAAAAGATATGGAATTTCAAAACTAGCGCTCACTTTCACGTTGTCGACCCATTCCATATTCAGGTGCTCTGGCATTGTTGTCATCCATTCACCCTTTGAAGGTTGTAAAAACATCCCATTTTCTGCTGCCAACCACAGGTTGTATTCTTTGAAACTCCGTTACAACTGGATTCGTCTAACAGTTCATAAGGAAAACAAGTAATGTGCAAAGAATTACATCATCTAGAACTTTTCTACCACTTCCACTGAGTACAACTACTGTGGTATTTGGATCATTGCAAAGTGCTGTTAAAGGTTGTCTCAGTTCTGGATGCACCTTTAGTTCCATTTCTTTAATCTGATCACCAGTTTTCTCAACTGGTTCTGTTAAAGTTCCATTGAATCCCTGTATGCATATAACCAAACTCAGTGTAAACTTTAATGCAAGAAGAAAAAATCGCTCTTCAATGATAACCAAAATCTCATAAATGATATCTGAGGGTATTTCAAAGATGCATCTCCAAATACACCCAAATAATATACGGACATGCATCTCTGAACTATATTTAAAAAAAAAATTGGGATAAAACTAAAACAAAAGAGAAGATTTATGTGATTCATGTAGTAAATCCAATCATGCTATTCGTACCAGTACCTTATTCTTTTTTCCTGCAGATAAAAGGAGAACTTTACCGTCCACTATATCAGCTGCCTCAATCCTCTTATTTTCACTATCTACTCTGCTATTATTCAAGTACAGACCTCCTTGCTTTAACAACCGGCGCACAGCAGATTTACTGTCGAACAAACCCGAAGATACCGAAAGATCAACCAAAGACTGATTCAGAACCTCATCATAAGCTAAAGAACAAGACGGAACATCCTCCGCAATCCCCTCAATAGTTTTCCAATCCAACTTTGTCTCAGATCCCGGCTTCAATGCTTCAGTTGCTCTAAGAGCTTCTCTCAAACCATCTTCACCATGAACAAATCGGGTAACTTCTTCGGCAAGTCTCCGCTGAGTAGTATTAGGCACATATTCAGGTTTCTTCTGTTCTTATTGATTGGCTGGCCAAAATGCAGCTTGTTGATGAAGCTGAACAGATTTTAAACAAAATTGCTCTGCTGGGTGAGTCTCCTCCTTTTAAGGTTCAAGTTAGTCTTTGTGATATGTATGCAAGGACTAAAATGGAGAGAAAGGCACTTCAAACACTAGGCGTTCTGATAGCTAGGAAGAACGAATTAAATCAACACGAGTTTGAGAGGGTTATATCCGGCCTTATTGGTGGCGGGTTTTTGAAGGATGCACAAAGAATGCTTGGGATCATGGAGGCACAGGGTTTCAAAGCATCTGGACAGCTTATTTCTGCCCTTAAATCTGGCCTCTTACCATTAAGCATGAGGTCATGAGTTCTGCTGTGTTTCTTTTTCTGTCATGTGGCCGACAAATCCACTGCCTTATGAAGGGAGCCTCGGTCTTATAGATTGACCATACCATGTAACCAATAAAAAATTTAGTTTATTATTGATAAGTTGTTAGTTCCTCAATTGTATCATTTTTATGAAAATTTTGCTATGGTTGCATGTTTGGAAGTGTTCAGAATTCACTGATTTATTTCTCTTAATATTCTTTTGAATCTTGCTTTGTGTATATAGCAGTAGATTAATTTGATTAAGCATTTTGTTGTTCAATTTTACAGTTTTGGATTTTACTGTGTGAATTGCCTAAATGTTTCAGGCCAGGCCAAATGTGTCTATCTAAATTCTTATCTTTAAAGGAGTTTATGAAGAAAGACATTTTTTGTTGCCTACACATGGAGTTTGTTTTTAAGTTGATGGGTCATGTCCTATGCAAAGGATGCCAAGCAAAAAAGAATACAAACATTTTGGTTCAAAATGAAATTATTTTTCAATAAATGGATGAATAACTAAAAGGAAGAAACAACAATGAGGTAAGGCATATTCTTTCTTAAGAGTCAAGAAACAACAATTAATGGGTTGCAACCTTTGATTATTTGAATATTAATTCACTAATATAATGAAGAAAAGAACCAAAGTAGAACTTTTTAAGGGAATCAGTGTGAAATATTCCAAAGGAAGTAATAAAGAAATTGTGAGCTCAAGTAAAACATATATAATGAAAGCCTCATCATGCATCCAAGGCATAAATACAACTTCAATTATGTATATATAGATAGACTAGAATCACATTATGCAGCATTACATTTAACCAGAACACTAGAAAAACAAAACTGATTACTCCTTTTTTCAACTCAGATATTTGATTACTAGGGAAAGAAAAACTCATCCTCTTTGTATTCAAATATTAACTAAACCATTCATGGCACAAAGAAAGCCGTCGTTTCGTTTTCGAATCCCTTGGCTAAGAGGAACACAATCATTCTCTCGCAATCCGAAAGACGCATCAAAATCATCTACTCAATCAGACATAAATGTCCTCTTTCAAAGATCATCTAATAGGCCTTCTGTCATAACCCCCGCAGAGTCTCCTCCAGGTCCTACCAAAACTCAAGAAGCCACTAGAACAGAACCTCAAAACCAATCACCACCTCATCCAACACCATTATCAACTTCAGTGGTTGTCGAAACCACTCACTCAAAACCTCTTTCTCCATCAAAATCTCCAAACCATGTCAACTCTCCACCACCATACTCTTCTGCAGCATCTCAGTTTCATGTTTTCTCAACTCCACCTCAGTCTCCTTCTCAATATGACACCATGAAGGTGCCAAAGTCGATGCCTTCTTCTACTGAAGAAAATACTCATCCTACATCATCTGTATCTGAACCAATGCCACACGAAGCTGAAGCCGAGCCCGAGATGAAGGTAAAGGTGAGTTCACCATTGAAAGAATTCACCAAGTCACCAGAGGCCTCTTATCAACAAGCTATTGGCTTTGAACAACAAGCTTCTTCTACGCCCTCTTCGCCCGAAGTTTCTAAAATTGAACCAGCTTCTCAGCATCATCCACTGTCTCCTTTGGCATCGGAGCAAAAAAATGAGGAGTTAAAAGCTAATCACGAAGAAAACACTTTGTGTACATCATCTACTTTTGAAGGAGAGAAAGATAAGATGACAATGTCAGTGTCTGATTCGGTTCGGGGCCAAATGATGCAGAACCAAAGACGAGGTCACCATTGAAAACTATCCCCCTGTCACAACCAGAGAATCCATCTAAGCACATAGCAACAGAATTCGACGAGGAAAGATTAACCTCCAAAACAACACCAAAGTCCCCTTTGGAAAGTCTAAGCAAGTTCCTTCAACATAAAGGGAAGGCTAACCACGAAGAAAGCAATTTGCATTCACCATCTACCTCTCAAAAACAAAAAGTTAAAATTCCAGTGTCTGACCCGATGCTAGATGAAGCAAAGCAAAAGATGAAGTCACCATTGAAAACCACTCCCATGTCACAACCGGATAATTTGTCCAAGCACACAAAAACAAAATTAGACGAGGAAAGATTAATCTCAAAAACAACACCAAAGTCTCCTTTGGAAACTCAAAGCAAGTTCCTTCAACATAAGGAAAAGGAGAAAGTTGTGCATGAAACCAAAAAGATAGGAAAATCCAAAGACGAAAGTACTAGCCAACCGAATCGACATGCCAAGCCTTCTTCTTCTGGCACAAAGGATAAGAAGCATCATGGTGTAAGAGAAACAGTAGAGAGAAAGATAATGTTTGCCACATCAAACTCTAGTGGAAAAGACATAGGAGTTATGAGCTCAAAAGATCCAAGCTCAAGCATATCACACGAAAGAACTGCTCCGTCAAGCGAGGAAAGGGAAAAGCGAAATGAAAAGGCTCCAATACAAAAAGGTATCAAAGATGATATTACAAAGTTTGTTCATAAAATATCAGCCTCAGTGCATCCAACACAGCCCATGGATGACAAGAAATTCAGTGTCATAACACTGACTGGTGACAATAGAGGAGCCACAATGCATGTTGGCTCTGAATCCGATAAAAAAGACGGATCGATCCACATTCATAGGGACTACAAGCCTGAATCTGAAGAGAGCATTGAGGTGAGCACAGATGGAGAAGGAAACAGTAACAATGAAGAAGATTCAATGGAGCTTGGTGAGGTTGGGAAGGCATATGTTAACAGCAACATACAAAGCATCAACAATTCACTCATGTTTCATGGTTCAATCAGTGAAAGAGACCCTGGAGTTCAAGTTACACTTCCACAAAAGCCCTTAGAACCCGTCAATCACGACGACGATAAAGACACTCACAATCAGAGGACCGAGTTTAACATGAGCTGGTCTCAGAAGCCGACTTTTCAGCCAGCTGTTCGCCGTTATGGTTGCAAGTTCAGTCGCGGCGCTAATAATGAAGATATTGATATTATGTGAAAAGAAGAACAAAAAACATAGCTTCCCTAGTATAAAAATATTACAACACTCAAGTATATAAGAAAATAAGGCACCAGTTTCGCCACTTCTATCATGCAAGTGTTAACATCCACAATATAGACGGTGTACTTTTAGTTTATTTTTATTTTTATGGTCAATGTGATTTTTATTTTTAATTGTTTAAGAAAATATATACTATGTCTTGTGGAGTACTTTGAAATGTCTTGCTTGAGGAAATTAACAAACTTAATTACACATTAAACATTGATTCTAACAGCTAGCATTACACAAACTTGGACCTGCAGAATGAAAAATGAAAGTTATTTTGTGCAGCATTTTCTCAAGTAAATATGTGCATTTTATATCAAAGAAGATTGCAAAGGCACTATCATTCACAAGCTGGTTTTGTATCAAAGCTACTCAAACAGATTGCGAAAGCTTGAAAAGCAGAGAGAGGATATCGAAAATCCATGGTGAATATGTCCTTGCCAATTTTTCCAAATTGAAGTATAACAAGTCTAGAAGATAGCTGCAAAGTTTATTAATAATGGAACCAAGTCTCAAATGTCATGAAAGTTATATAAGCAATAGAAAAATTGGCTTACCAGTTACACCAATAAACACACTTGTTTGATGAGCAACTTAAATATTAATGATTACCACCAAAATCAAGCGTTTACTAAGCATACAACAAACAAACAGAATAAATAAAATACTCTTCAAAGAATATTCATGTAGTAAATCCAATCATGCTATTCGTACCAGTACCTTATTCTTTTTTCCTGCAGATAAAAGGAGAACTTTACCGTCCACTATATCAGCTACCTCAATCCTCTTATTTTCACTATCTACTCTGCTATTATTCAAGTACAGACCTCCTTGCTTTAACAACCGGCGCACAGCAGATTTACTGTCGAACAAACCCGAAGATACCGAAAGATCAACCAAAGACTGATTCAGAACCTCATCATAAGCTAAAGAACAAGACGGAACATCCTCCGCAATCCCCTCAATAGTTTTCCAATCCAACTTTGTCTCAGATCCCGGCTTCAATGCTTCAGTTGCTCTAAGAGCTTCTCTCAAACCATCTTCACCATGAACAAATCGGGTAACTTCTTCGGCAAGTCTCCGCTGAGCAGTATTAGGCACATATCCAGGTTTCTTCGTCTCTTCCTCCAACTTAACTATCTCATCAATATCCAAAAAGGTAAGGATTTTCAAAAACCTAATAACATCAGCATCTGGCACAGAGAAAAAGTACTGATAAAACTTGTATGGAGACAACAAAGATGGAGACAACCAAATTGCACCATCCTCAGATTTACCGAATTTCGTACCATCACTTTTCAACAAAAGTGGAAATGTCAAACCATAGGTAGCAGTAGCACCTTCTACCTGCAATATCTTCCTAATCAACTCAGTTCCAGCAGTTATATTGCCCCATTGATCACTACCCCCAATTTGAACATTAACACCCTCATTTTGAAACAAATACAAGAAATCATAACCCTGCAATAACTGATAAGTAAACTCAGTATAACTCATTCCTTGTTCAGATTCTAATCTCTTCCTAACACTCTCCTTAGCCATCATTGAACCTACTCTAGCATACTTACCAACCCTTTTCAGAAAATCCAACAAACTAAACTCTTTCCACCAATCATAATTATTCAAAACCACAACAGAAGAATCATTACCATTCATACTCAAATCTTCAAAGTTAGGATTTTTAGCACGACCCAAGATTGTTCTAATAATATTTTCAATACCTGCAGTATTCCTCTCCAAGGTTTCTACATCAAGCTCTGGTCTTTCAAGGCTTTTTCCAGATGGGTCACCGACCCGCGCGGTGGCGCCGCCGATCAAAGCAACCACGTTATGGCCAGAACGGCGGAACCAAGAGAGAACAATGAGACCCAATAGGTTGCCCAAGTGCAAGCTCTCGGCAGTAGGGTCGAAGCCGCAGTAGACTTTGAGGGGTGCGTTAATGGTGTTTGATGAAATGCTTCTGAGAGAATCGTTTGTTATGGAGTCGAGTAAACCTCTTTCTTCGAGGATTCCGATGACACTTCGAGTAGTTTGAGGTTGTTTGTGTTGTTGATGTTGCAAAGTGCATGTTGTTCTTGTAAAACGGAGAGGAAGAGAAAAGGGGAGGTGGGAAGAAGGAGGTTTGAAAGGGAAGATTAAGAGCTTGGTGGAATGGGAGAAGAAAATGGACGTTAAAGCAAAATTTGTGGCCATAGTTAGGATGATTGTGATGTTGGGGTTTGAGATGTGTGAATTGTGAAGGTAGGGCTCTGAACTGCCCTTTCTCTAAGGACAACGAATGAAGGAAAAGTGGAATTCACTAAATAAAAGGTAGTAGAAGTTATCCTTCTCAACTTTCTTCCTGCTGTATCGCCAAATTACTATGCTCTGTAAATACCGATTAAATAAAAGTATATGAGTGATCAAATTCAAATCATGTAAAATAAAACTTCAAAAATTTTTAAAAATTATTCCTATGTTTTACCATAGTTTTACAATATGTGTTTTTTCTTTTTTTAACTTTTACACTTTTCAAGATAATAAATTAATTGTGTTAATCTTAATAATAAAATAAATATCACTTTTTAAAATAACCTTTTTAATAATTGATAATAAAACAGTTTATATAATTTAAAATACAATAAATAAAAGTAAAAAAATAAAAATAATAATAATAAATATTATGTTGATAATCTAAATAAATAAATAATTTAAGATAAATAAAAATAAAAGATATGACATATATGTTGGGTGCAGTGGTTTAAGTCTCACGTTGTTTATGAATTAGTGAAATGTTGGATTTATAAGAGATATAACTCATTTACCGAAAGCTTTAAGGTTTTGAGTTGAGATGCTGTGTCTCCCTCTCTTGTTTGGTTCTGAAGCATTAGTTTTATTGGTGCACCTGACTCTTCCGGACTCGTTGTTGATATCTTGATGTTGTATTAGAGTATTGTGAGATGTAATTGTATATTAATTTTGGAGGGTGTGCATGGACCGAAGGTCTGGATTAATTAAAGGTATATTATATGTTGTAACAATTTTCACATAGTTTATTCTTAAAAGTTTGTGGTTTTTTCTCTAATTTTAAATTTTTCACGTTGTTATGTTTTTTATTGTAATTGTATTTCTATTTTTTCGTTTGCTTGTTAATATATTATAAAAAGGAAAAAGTAATAAATATTTTAAATATATTTAACTATCTTTTAGCTTGAATCTGTTTTTTAGATTTTTTTGTTAATAATACAATTAATATTAAAAAGAATCTAAATTTTTTTATAAATATTCAAATATGTTAAATAATAATTATAAATTAAAAAAACTAAAATATTAATCACCTATTTTATATTTTAAATTATTAAAATTAAATAATAAAATATATAATAAAATATATAATAAAATAAATATGATACATTTACGGTGTATTAATGTCTCTATTATCCAACATGTTTTCATCTTTTATTATAGGGAAAAGACACAAAGTCAATCACGACAAATTTCCTCTATCAAATTTGAAGTGAATTATTGTGTTATCTAATATCCTTGAGATAATAATTTTATTAATTAACTATTATTCCATAATGTTTTATCAGATTTCATTCATCAATAATGTGTATAATCAATGTGGGCTAGTCGGTCCATAATTTTCTCGCATGTCATGCATTACACCGTTTTTATTTTTTTTATTTTTCTTATGAAAACAATCCTTAATTTTCTATAGCATATTTATTTTCAATGCGGAAAGAGGAATAATTATTTTATTTTTTTTATAAAGACAATCCTTAATTTTCTTTAAGATATTTGTTTTCGATTTATTTAATGATGTTAACGTGTAGGGCTATAGCCTATAGGCTCCAAATTCGACAAGAGGAATAATTATTTTATTTTTTATAAATACAATCATTAATTTTTTTTATAATATTTATTTTCAAATTATTTAAATGATAAAGTATAGGATTGTAACTATAGTGCATTCATATGAGTAAACTTGTTTGATACGGTATTATATATATATATATATATATATATATATATATATATATATATATATATATATATATATATATATATATATATATATATATATATATATATATATATATATATATATATATATATATATATATATATATATATATATATATATATATATATATATATATATATATATATATATATATATATATATATATATATATATATATATATATTTAAAATAGATATTATTGAGTTGAAAAATAAACAATAATAATGGTATAAATTTGATCTCTTTTTTTTAATCTTTAGAGCTTCTTTTTTTTTTTCTTTCAATTTATTGCTCTTATTATAAAAAAATGTATCAAATAATTATATAACAAGAAGAAAGAAAGAAAAAAGTCGTGAAATGGAGAAAGAAAATTTTTAACATGTCGTAGTTGATGCTTTGAGTAGAAAGTTGTTACATGTGTTGATGCTTATAGTTTGAGAGTTGGAGTTGATTGAACAATACCTAGATATGAGTTTGATATGTGAAAGGACTCGTGATAGTGTGATGTTGGACATGTTGAAGCTGACCAGTGGTATTCTTGAAGAGATCAGAAAAGATCAGATGATCGACTTAGGAATAGTGGACCGATTAGTGTCAATTAATCAAAATCAATGTGATGATTTCAGAATTAAGAAAACGGTGTGATAAGATTCAGAGATAGAGTTTGTGTACCATATGTGTCTGAACTTAATAAGAGTATTCTTGAGGAAGATAATATGAGTGGCTTGAGTATTCATCTCGGTGCTACTAAAATGTATCAAGACTTAAAGAAATTGTTTTGTTTGCTAGAAATGAAGAAGAAGATTGATAAGTTTATGTATGCTTGTTTGACTTGTCAGAAGCCAAAGATTGAACATTACAAGTCGTCGGGTCTAATTCATGACATATATTTTATATAAAATAGATAATAATTAAAACAAAATAATCAAGATACAATTTATTGATA